CTCCATAAATAATCATACCCATTGATTAAAATAAAATATATAAAATTCAACCTATATAAAACATCACAATTATGTATTATTACATAACAACAAATCACCAGTTTTATCCTAGTATATTATTAAGTAATATTGTTGTAAAATAATAATAATTATGTAATTATTAATTATCACATATATTAACCCCTTTGTGTAATACTACCATAAAATATTGAAAAAAATGATAAAGGTCTAACAAAATTATTTAAATATATACATCGTACAAAATAATGCATATGTATATATACGTATACATATGTATATATATATATATATGAGTACATATCTATGTATATATATGTGTATATATGTATGTATCTATATGTGTATATATGTATGTATATATGTATATATGTATATATATGTATATATATATATATATGTATATATATATGTGTATATATGTATGTATATATATGTGTATATATGTATGTATATATATATGTGTATATATGTATGTATATATATGTGTGTATATATATGTATGTATATATATATATGTATATATATGTATGTATATATATATGTGTATATATGTATGTATATATATATGTGTATATATATGTATATATATGTATATATGTATGTATATATATGTGTATATATGTATGTATATATATATGAGTATATATTATGTATATATATGTGTGTGTATGTATGTATATATATGTGTATATATGTATGTATATATATGTGTATATATGTATGTATATATATGTGTATATATGTATGTATATATATGTATATATATATGTATATATATATATATGTGTATATATATATATATATATATATGTATATATATATGTATATATATGTGTATATATATGTGTATATATGAATGTATATGTATATATGAATGTATATATATGTATATATGAATGTCTATATATATGTATATATGAATGTGTATATATATATATGTTTATATGTATGTATATATATGTGTGTATATATGTATGTATATATGTGTGTGTATATATGTGTATATGTATGTATATATATGTATATATATATGTGTATATGTATGTATATATATGTATATATATATGTGTATATGTATGTATATATATGTATATATATATGTGTATATGTATGTATATATATGTGTATATATATGTATGTGTATATACATATGTACGTGTATACATGTGTATCTATATAATATATGTATGTGTATATACATATGTATATATATACATGTGTATGTATATACATATGTACGTGTATACATATGTATGTATATGCATATGTATATACATATATGTGTATATAAGTATGTGTATATATATGTATACGTGTGTATATATATGTGTATATATGTCAATATGGACGAGTGATTTGATTAGAAAAAATGACTTTTACCTTCTGAAGACCTTATATTGGCTCAGATTTTATCATCGACAAAATTAAAGTCAAGAATAGCGAGCTTCTCTTGAAATATGGCATGACAAAAGCTGCGTATTTTCTCATTTTAAATGCCGCCCAACTGCCCTGAACAACTAATTAAGATGGATGTCAGAATGGATCTTTTTCTGGCCAGAGACCCAATTCTTCCCCTACTGTAAGTTATCGGCTTCTAACGTTTAGGCTAACGGCCATATCAAGTTGAAATATTGGTTTGTGTCCTAAGCATTATCATTCATTACCAACCGTCGTTTGATTATTCTGTTCAGTAACATTTCCTAGGTTACAACAAATATATATATATATATATATATATATATATATATATATATATATATATTAGCACATCCTGAAGAATTCTATTTTCTAAAACCTGAAGAAACCTCAGGATTTTTGGGGGGAATCACTTGATAGTCGAACTAAGAATACTTTACCAACCTAGTCTTGGTGGCTTTACCGCCTTTCTCAGCAGTGAAATGATTAAAAAAAATTAATATTCCAAATCTACTGTAGTACGGTCATTAACCAAAATCATTTCCAACCCAGTCTACAATCTTAGTATTCTTTATCCATTGTGAAATGACGCCAGACCAATGGGTTGTATATATTTGTCTAATTATGAGGAGTCGAATTACTTACCTTTCATCCACAAAACGCCCACGCCGGCTTGTAAAATCACGACTTCGACATGAAATATCTTGATCTTCATATTTCTGTACCGACCAGTGAACCGAACCGATTTTTAATGCCATAACAATTCAATTTTTAATGCTTGGTTGGCCCAAACAATGGCTTTTTTGTCGGAACCGATTCAATGAGAAATCTCTCTTGCTGCTCGCATTAAAAGTCAAATTCGGTAGAACGAACTTGTCATGAACAAAAAGGTAGACACCGACCAAAGGAAATTCTATCCACATCTGTTTTGAAGACAAACGATACCACGATGTGTTCAGAATAGTCTTTTAACACTGGTATGCTGTACGTGATACACACTTGGACGGTAATATCTCTCCACGATTTCCTCACCTAAATAACTGTAGGCGTTTCAGTTAAGTGGCATACATGATACACGTTTGGGCAGTCATGTCTCTCCACAACTTCCTCGCCTAAATAACTGTGACGCCTTCAGTTAAGTTCCATGCGTGATACACGCTTGGGTGATCATGTTTCTCCACAACTTCCTCACCTAAATAACTGTTGACGCCTTCAGTTAAGTGCCATACGTGATATACGCTTGGGAGATCATGTCTCTTTCAATTTCTGACTGACGTGGCAGATTTTCCCACAGTAGATTGCCGTTTCTTTCTACAGTAGACTGCTTGCTATCCAAGGCTATAGGGCCCAATCTGCCCTGCTATTCATCCCATGGGAAAGGAAGATGTATTTATACCTTTCCCAAGGATATTTACGCCTAAGTGAATGATTGTAACGTACCCGACTGGAATTCGAACTCGGCTCTCCGATTTCTCATTTCCAGCCCGTTAACCATTGCACCACAACGTACACCCAGAAGTGTCAAAATAGATGATAAAATTAGTTCAACTCCAGAGTTTGTTATTTCGATCACTTGACTGAAATACGTTTTTTCGTAAAACGATCCATGAAATTGAGCTTAGAATGCATTATGGTTTACTTATGAAATCGAATTCCAATCTTTGGTGTTTATTACCTTTTTTAACTCTGCATTAGTGACCTCGAATTTCCAAAAATGGATAGTACCCTGGAGTGTTCACACACACCCCAATACAAAAATAGGCTTATAGTGTTACGATTACGTAAAATATTGTCGTATTGATGAAACATATACAATCTCCGTTACAATATACATAGAAACTTGTCATTGATCGACCCAAAAGAGTGACATTGGACCAATGGACACCACTCAGAACAGGTGGCAAGTGACGAGGATAATTTAATATTTAATAATCACTAAAGCCGTGTACAGTATTTATGAATCATGAGAATGACAAGCATCAAATATCACTGAATGAATGTAGGATTAGAATTGGTGGGCAGTTGAAAATTTTCACATCCATGCGTACATCAATATCATTCATTTTCTATGTCATGTCCTCTCAGAAAGTGAAAGACCATGGCTCTCCACGACTTCTTTTTTGTTACTCCAAGTAACTTTTGATCCTTTTATATCTATATTTGTCTTTGTTCTGTCATCCATACATTAAAAATTGTGAAGTAGATTACTCCCCATTTTTATATGTCCTGTGAGTGTCAGGTTTTCCAAGTCATCTTTTCTCAATATGCGTCCCTGAAATTTAAGATGTCTCTTCCTTGCTATGAGCATAAGTTTCGTTGATTCTCTTGTTGTCCTTAAATCTTCCTCCTTGCTCAGATGTTATCTTCATGGTGTTAGTATTCGACTACTATTTTTTCTGTTAGAACATTGTCCTGTATTCATTGGCATATGTCATATATTTCGTAGCAGGTCAGCAATATTTTCTTTGTTTTTACGTACATTTTTCCATCTTTTAATACTGTGCTTAGTTTCTGAGAGATATTTTTCTCTATTCATATGCAACTTGGATTTCAATTCGAAATTCCCTGTAGCTTATCCAGATCGATAAAAAAACTTGATGAAGGCCGGGTATCACGAAGGTCGAAACGTTGTGATAACAACAGCAGAGATGGGCAATGTAAATAGAATGTAAGTGTCCGAATATAAATAGCGTAGAAATAAGGATTCCCGTGTCACATTTTCTGTTGTCTTACTACACAAACCAGATAATTGATTTTACTTGATTTTGACGTCCCTATTATGTAATTCACAGATAATGCTGTCTTTTTTGATGACAACCATTCATTGTTTTCTTACATTTTGTAGTTACTCTTTAGTTTTGTTTTCCTTTATTATTTTGGTTAAGACTTCTTTCCAGTTTCTTTCTGAGCGTACTATCAACATAATGTCCGACACGTGTGACATGTGGTTGAGATTATATCAAGAGTTCAGGGAACTGGTAGGAAGTAGAAATATGCGGCTAAAATTCATTTATGATTTTGATGCAAAAGACCTATAATTCTATGCTGTTAGGAAAATCTTAGTCTCTTTTAACGGCCATCTTCCTTTTATTGTAGAATTAACTCTAATAGATTCTATACAATTACAATGGGAACGACACAAGAAACATCATAATGGTCCTGGCTGAAGGGAAGAGGCATCACGAAGGATGACCTTGTTTATTCTAATCTATATCCGAGGGTCGGCTGGAAAGTTCCTTGACTGATCAAGATATAAATGCAACTAAGTAGATACCCGAGTTGGTAGACTAAAAGACCTGCAAGTCGACCAGAATACAACTGGTGGTCGGCATTCGATTATTATAACATACGATTCGTATTCATTGAATAAAGACGATGATTCTTCTCACATAGGAAAATACACGTAAGAATAGAATCTGTAAGATTCGCGTTAGTGGCAGAAGAAAGGAGATAACCTTTAGGCATAGAAATAAGTAAAATATTTCTATTGGTTTTAAATTAAGGTGTGTTTAGCGAAAGCAAGTAGGAAGAGACAAGAAGGAAAGTTATCAGAGTCGACGAACATGGCCGCCAACTTGCGTCACCCTTACGTAACATATTTTCGCAAGTTGAACTAATTCATTATCTAAGTCTGTTCATTATCTATCTATCTCAATCTGTTCATTATGTAAGTCTGTTTATTATCTATCTACCTATGTAAGTTTGTTCATTATCTATCTATCTATCTATCTATCTATCTATCTATCTATCTATCTATCTATCTCTTTTCATTATCTAAGTCTGTTTATTATCTATCTACCTATGTAAGTCTGACATTATCTACCTAAGTCTACCAGTATGTATGTATGTATGTATGTATGTATGTATGTATCTATCTATCTATCTATCTATCTATCTATCTATCTATCTAAGTCTGTTCATTATCTACTTATATAAGTCTGTTCATTATCTAAGTCTGTTCATTACTATCTATCTATCTATCTATCTATCTATCTATCTATCTATCTATCTGAGTCTGTTCATTATCTATCTATCTATCTATCTATCTATCTATCTATCTATCTATCTATCTATCTGAGTCTGTTCATTATCTATCTATCTATCTATCTATCTATCTATCTATCTATCTATCTATCTATCTATCCTGTTCATCTATCTATCTATCTATCTATCTATCTATCTATCTATCTATCAGAAAAGAACCGTACTTACATTTTACTGTTATCCTCAACTAGAAGTTTCATGTGGGCGCAGAGGTACCTATTGCATTGTATTGTATTGCATTGTATTATAATTCAATACAAACAGTTCTTGGGCATTTTCTCATTTGAATACCAGCCGGAAAACTGTGACTAAACAGGAGTGCCACAGTTTGAATAAATCCATATTGGGACGGAACAAAATTTTTTAGCGTTTTTATGTGCATTTCAAGGAAACTATTTTGTTACTTCCACATAGATTTATCCAACCACATATATGGCATTTTGTTCTAATACCTTTCGCCATATTTAAGACAGATTCATGATTGTATCCTTCCAGAATTCTGGCAGCTTTCTAGGTGATTAATTGGTCTAAGTGGATTTTACAAACTTCCAGAGAGTTTTTCCCGTTAAGAGAATTTTGTAGGGTCGGAAATCAATTTTTTAATGTGAAAGTAAAAATTCAGGTGAGTCCTACAAGTGTAGCGGGTAAACTCAGTCAATCTGTACAGATTCCTGCTGGATCTGTAAAGAGATTTGTGGTTTGGCATTGTCAAAGATGGCAGCTTTCTGATTCTGGGCGCTTTTCATCGGTTGCTGTGTTTAATTGCTTCAAATAGGAATAGTAATTGCTGGAATTCTATTTCTGATACTCAGGAAGAAGTTTGTAATAAACAGTGTTCTCTTAATCCAGTCAGATACACAGCATCTCCTTCTTCCGATGCAGACGGCTTTTTGGAATGGTTTACGGTGACTCATTTAATCTCTCCACGACATTTTTTACTCACTATTGTTGTAAATAATCCGTTTTTCATCGCCTGTGATCATTCTTTCTAAACCGTTTTTTTTTTTGCGTTTGAGTAGAAAATTGGTGGAAAGTTGGTCAATTAATTTTTTTCCCATTAATTGATTTGTTTTTTTTTACAACTTAACACTTTATTTACATTATTCGGACAATTGTCCCCATCTTTGTCGCCAAATTTATCACAACGTTTCGGCCGTTGTACGCTCCGGCCTTCTTCAGGTAGTTGGAATGTCGAACTGAGCCCTTTATTTCGCTCACTGGGGTAGACTGTTCTAGTTCCACGTGCCATGTTTAATGGATGTCAGTTATCAGTTATCTCCTGTTAATTCCCCTCTCCAAGTTCCCCACTGCCTTAACCGGGTATTGAACTCACACTCTTTGGGTCCTGTCAATGGATCTAACCAACGCCTTTATCCACTGATCCAGTGCTTGTAATAGTAACAGTATCTAATATCGTAACAGTATAATGTAGTAACAGATTAACAAAAACCAATAACTTTCTGGAGGGTGAAAGGGATTTCCTTTGTAGCTTTCCACTCGCATTTAAATCTATTGTAGTCTCATCCATCCAATCAGATTGGATCTACTCCAGCAACAAACATAAAAAAAAAACTGGTCGACAGAGAGAAACAGGTTCCCTGCCTCTTATCTTGACTGATCGCTACACAACCATTTGAATTCCATCGCTCCCCGCCTAAACATCGAGTTTCTTGGTGAGTAAAAGTTACAACATTTGTACACCTCAAAACATCGATAGATCTAGCTGCAGCAGGGTGTTATTGTGTAGGTTAACCTCAAAGCCACTAAATGCAGAATCTGACCTCAAAAGATGCCAGTAGGTGTACCAACATAAGCAAGAAGTGAACCCAGCTGAACTCAGAATGTACACACAAGGTTGCAGGAATTTATATAGACCCTGAACCACATGGCTGGAAAGCCTAAACCGTAACATCCTTGCAAGAAGATCAAGTATTCAAAGAAGGTTTCCGGAACTGTATACCCACCATAGCTGAAGTAAATATGGAAAAATTATTTTTACCAGGTGCCACTAACATAACGCTGTTAACGTCTTTGGATATTAATAGTCTGCCATTAACTGTCGGCACTATTTTGAATTTGAGAATAGAGAATTACCAGTGATTTTTTAACTCTAGAGAAAAAATCTCTCTTGGTTTAAAATTATATTTATTACAAAGTTTTTTGACCTCAGTTTGAGATATAATTTCATCAGTTTGGAATTGGCTTTTTGTTTGAGAGATGTTGGAGGGTGGAAAGCAAATCAAGTGAGACATAAGGTAGAAAAGATAAGGATATTAGTATAAACCAATGTAAGGTTTGTGTCGGATTAGGGGAGGGGGAAACTCGGACAGTGTTGTACCCGAAACTCGATGTGAAAGGAGAAAAAAAAAGATAGCACTCTTGCTTGTTGTAGCAGAACTTCACAGCGTTCCCTGGTAATAATAGTTTGTGATTGCAACGAATTGCCTTGTTGCTTACAACAATGTCTGTCCTTGTAATAGTAACAGTATCTAATATCTTAACAGTATGATGTAGTAACAGGCTAACAAAGAAACAATAACTCTCTGGAGCGTGAAAGGGATTTCCTTTATAGCTTTCCAGTCTCATTTAAATCTATTGTAGTCTCATCCATCCAATCAGATTGGATCTACTATAACAGCAAACATAAAAAACAACAACAAAAAAATAACCTGGTGTACAAAGAAAAACAGATTCCCTACCTCTGTCTTTGACCGACCTCCACACAACCATTTGAATTCCATCGCTCCCCGCCTACAAATCGAGTTTCTTGGTGAACACAAGGCACAGCAATCCATTACACCACCCGCACATCTAAGGTCACAGTACCTGGTGTTCCCAAACAACCACCCATCTAGGTATTGACCAGGTTCGACGTTGCTTAACTTCGGTGATCGTACGGGAACCGGTTCTTGAACGTGATGGTTTTTTTCCATTAGATTGTGAGGCGCCCAACATCATAGCGAATCACGTGTTCAAGTATTTTGAAATGTCTTG